CAGAGGATCATGGGTTGCCCTCTCCCCTCTTTGGAAGAGCTTTATAGCTCCCGCTGCCTTAAGAAAGTTCAAAACATTCTCAAAGATCCATTTCATCCTGGGCACCCTTTTTTTTTAAACTATTGCCATCTGGCAGACGGTACAGTATAATAAAACAAGGACAAATAGGCTGAAAAACAGCTTCTATCCCAGGGTAGTAACTCTTCTGAATTCTACTGTATAGTGCAATATTAATGTGATATCAGGGCTTTTCAATTCAATGTGTGGAGGGTGAAGGATGTGTGTTTTGTGTTTATTTTCATGGTCATGATGTGCACTGAAGATGGTGTTTGATTTCGTTGTATGAGATGCAATGACAATAAACTAAACTTCCTTTCAAAATCTTTCACCAAAATTATCGAGGGAGGGAGGGAGTTTCAACAAGGGAATGAGAAAAAGAGATGTTCTGAAATAGGAAGTGGCCCCAAGAAGCTTGGAAGTGTGTAAAAGGGCTCACGAAGGTCCCTTATGAAGGCAGCAATCCTGGCGTCACAAATGGCTTGGATGTTCCAAATGGTGTCTTGATCCAGGCCTTCGGAGATCAGCAGACTCGTAGCAAGGGGATCCAGAAGATTGTGAGACCTTTTGCAACGTGGGAAACGGCATTCTCCTTTGAGAAAGTAGCGGCAAATGTGAAGCCGGGAGCAACTATCATTCAGAGTGCAAGTCCCTCCCCCTTTGTTATAGGCACCGCACACCTGGAAAGAGAGAGAAACAGAAAGACACCAATATTGGGATCGCACAAATATTTTACACCCTTTTTGCCTAGGTATCAGTGTCATCTTCCTTTCTCTCTACAATTACAGACCTGGCCATACCACCTGGTACAACCCTCTGCCATGTGTAAGAAAACCAATTCTTAGAGGAGACTGTCCAGCCTCTTATTAAAAGCCCCAGAGATGGAGAAGCCACAACTTCTGTAGATAAGACTTTTCCAATATATCCTTTTTTTAAATTATCAGGCTCAGAACTTACGTCACAAACCAGTACATGAATACAAACCCTAAAAGAACCCAGCTTCAACGATGATACAAGACCACGTGTACATCCATCCATCCATAATTCAATATATGTATTAACTTAGATCTGTTAATGAAATAAAAGTAGCGTAAGGTAAAAGTTCCCCTTACACATATGTGCTAGTTGTTTCCGGCTCTAGGGGGTGGCGCTCATCTCCGTTACAAAGCCGAAGAGCCAGCGCTGTCTGAAAACGTCTCTGTGGTCATGAGGTTGGATGACTAAACGCCAAAGGCGCAGGGAACATTGTTACCTTCCCACCAAAGAGGTCCCTATTTTTCTACTTGCATTTTTTTACATGCTTTCGAACCGCTAGGGTGGCAGAAGCTGGGACAACTTACAGGAGCTCATTCCATTACACAGCGCTAGGGATTTGAACTGACCTTTCTGATCGATAAGCTCAGCGTCTTAGCCACTGAGCCACCGTGTCCCTATAAAAGTAGGGTGGATAGCTTAAATCGGGGGGGGGGGTCCTACTCAATGCCCGTGGGCCAAATCCGGCCTGCGATGTGGTTGTATCCAGCCTGCGGAGCCATCCTGGTCTATCCAGTGCGAAGCAGAAAGATCAGGCCAGCCTTGCCTTGGCCCGATCTGCCCAACGTGAAGAGGAAACATACCAGCAATTTGGGGAGTAGTGGCAAGCTGGCCACACCCACCCAGCCCCGAGGTCAACCACAGCCCTGATGTGGCCCTCAATGAAATTAAGTTTGACACCCCTGGCTTAAATGATATGAAACAAATCTGAAGCAGAAGATCAGGATACAGAACATTGCTCCAACTGATAAGTTGTGGTTAGTTGTGAAGTCGTGCCCAACCCATCGCAAACCCGTGGACAAGGTTCCTCCAGGCCTTCCTGTCCTCTACCATCCTCCGGATTTAAGCTCACGTCAACTGCTTCAGGGACTCCATCCAGCCACCTCCTTCTCTGCCATCTCCTTCTTCTTCTTCTTTGTCCCTCAATCGTTCCCAGCATTAGGCTCTTCTTCAGGGAGTCCTTCCTTCTCATGAGGTGGTCAAAGTGTTTGAGTTTCATCTTCCAGATCCAACTGATAGGAGATGTTACTAAATCATGATTTAGTATGACATGCAAAACTGGTCTTCCAATGAGAAAGTAAACCTGTAGGATTTGATTGTCTTAAATCTTCTTTTTCTATTTCTCTTTCAATTTCATACCTTTTTTCTTCTTTTGCCTACATTAGTAGTCTACAGACTACTTATATAGTTATATAGTGTGGGACCAAGCTTTGGGACCTTCATTGAATCTTTGGGAAATGTTAATGGGTAACATGGAATCCACTGCATTGTTCTTTATAGGTGCCTTTCCAAATGTGTCTTCTTTCGAAGCAGAGGCCTTAATATTCAACCCTGAATCTGTTTCTAAGAAAGTTTGCAGAGTCATGCTTTTATCAGTATTATTCCAGGGCAGGCTAGCAGTTCATGAGAATTTTTAAACTGTCTTTTTATTCTCTTTTTACAGGATGTGAACTTTTTTTTTTAACTCAAAGGACTCTTAATAAACACCAATTGTAGTGTGTGCTTAGGCGCCATCTGTTTGACATACACTTTGACACTGTATGTTTATTGGCCATTCTAACCATGTTTGTGTATTAACACTTGTTTGTTAGCCATCTCCAGGCGAGTCTTGGGATGGCAGCTATAAAAAATTGAATAGATTCTACAAATAACACATAACCTTCAAACATGTTGTGTCTGTATAACATGTTGTGTCTGTACAACATCCCTAACTCATTACACTGAGCAAGGATTTTGTCCTTCATATCAGAAGCCGCAGTCTGGGAGAGTAGATTATCTGACCTAAGTCAGATAGACAAGATCTATTCTTGCTAAAACAATTCTAAAACCAAAGTCTGGTGAGATCAGTGGCTCTGTAACAAATAACTGGTCTGTAAGTTCGGATAACTTACATCAGGTAAAAGAAAAGGGTCGTTCTGTAAAAGTAAAACGCACAATTCCTCTTCATTAAGGCCAGAGAGTTCATGGTTTTTCAAAATTTTCCTGTTTGTTTCTGAGAAAATATCATGTGAATACTTGCAAGAACTAGAAGAGAATAAAAGAAACACAGATAAGTAAACTACTCAAAGTTCTTAAAATTATAGATGCATTTATGGAAACTCTTTATATTCCATAAGCCTATTTTTTCCCTTCCAACTCTGAAATGCTACTTCACCCTGAAAATAAATACCAAGGATTGGGTCTCACAAAAGTATTATTCTAAGACGGGGGGGGGGGGGGGGGGGGGGGGG